ATTTTTTAAACCAAAAGACATAACATTTCATTTGTATTGGCCAAAAAAAAACTGTAAAAGCAGTTTTGTATCTATCTTTGGGATTAATCTGGATTTGCCAAAATCTAGATTTCATATTAAATTTAGAAAATATGGATGCAAAGTGCAATTTTTGCAACAAATCTTTTTTGTTGGGGATTGGATATCTTATCCATTTGAAAGCAGAATTTAAAGGTTTGTAATTGATCACAAGTCTTGGTGTGCCTCTCTTAATTTCAGAGTTTTTATTCACATAAAAGGCTACACACAACCAGGGTGATTAGGATTTTTAGATAAGACCTTTAGACTCGAGATCGTGAATTTCAAGTTTGCAATGTTATTCTAATCAGCATTCATTTGTATAGGTCTTGCTTTTGTAGGTATAAGTTTTTTTCTAAAAAAGTATCTTCATATAGAAAATCAGCAATGTGTTGTTTTCATTTCTAGAAAGCATTAGATAAGTCTGAACAAATCTATTGTTCAATCTTAGTTTGTAAATCAATAATTTTCTTTTATAAATCAGGGTTTTGTAATTGCTTGTTGATACGACAAAAAGAAACATGGTTTTGTAAATGATGTAGATGGAATTGTTTTCATGAATCAGTGCATTGATATGATATGTATGTATAGAGTATACTTTAATCAAATTTAAATTTCTAGTCTTAGATTTTTCTATGAATGGAAAAACAAGTTTGAGTTTATTGATTTTAGAAGTAATGCAATCATGATGTGCTTGACATGGAGTGATCATGTCAATGAATGGAATGCCAAGAATGATGGTATGATTTATATTTTTTGTAACAACGAAGAATTTTCTAAGAGAAATGTCATTGTTGAAAACAGAGGCTTGGGTTTTTCCTACAATATGCAATTTTAAATTATTAGCAGCTAAGAGTTTTTCAGAGGTATTTTGTAAAAATTATTTTGGAACGATGCCTTCTTTGATGCAATTTAAATATGCACCTGTGTCAAATAAAGCGATAGTATTAAGTTTGAAATCTTCTAAAAAAATAAGAATAATTTTAATCAAATATTTTTTCAAAGATATATTTGTTAATACATTCAGTAAATCATCTAAAATATGCTCAATATTTGTAAGTGTATGGGACAATGCATGAGATTCAATGGTTTAATCTTTTGATTCAGACTCAATGTCAGATTGGCTTTCAATCGTAGATAAAAGATGTTGTAATATAACAGAGTCTTTCTGCTGGGTTTGTTTTAAGGTTTGTAATTTGGATTTGAGGGTTTTGATCTCAGAATATAATTCTGGAATGGTGATTGTGGTTTTGGATTTCTTTTTATTAAGAATCTTTGTAAGGTTATAGGTATTAGTGTTGGTAGAGGGTAATATAGTGTGATTTGGAGGGTTATAAGGAGGGTGCTCTGATTGGTTGAAATCTTGCAACAGTTTTTCCAAGTCTTTTGATAACCTCAAGAATGAATTCTTGGTCTTGGGTTAGGACGTTAATTTGTTTGGAATTAGTAGAGGCATCTAAAATAGCACTGGTAGTTACTATTTCATTAATTTGAAATTCTTCTTTAAAAGTGTCTGAAGGAGAATGGTTAGTGTCTGCGGCTGCAATATAAAAATTTTGTATTTGGTTGATGATATCTTCATCTATTTAGAGCTCATGAAATTTGGTATTGATTTTGCAAAAACGGGGTGTATGTCCTTTCTAGTTACATTTATAATAGGTAATATTTTTGGGGTTAAATTTTGGTTTAGGTTTTGACTGGAAAGGTCTGTGGGGTTTGTTAAATTTGTAGGGCTTTTTGTAGTAAGGTTGATATGGTTTTGGATAAAACTGTTGTCGGTATTTATGGGTTGATCGTTTGTGAAAAGGCTATTGGTTCGAATATTTTTTGAGTTGAGAACAGGTTCCACTACCAGAGGGTTTTTTTGGTGAAAAGGTCAAATTGGTGACAGAAACTACCAAGCTCTTATCTGGTACATTTCATTTCTCACTTTAAGTGTTTTTGGAGTTTGAGATCTTGACAAATCTTAAGACCTTCTTTTTGTGTGAAGCTCACAAGTTCATTGTATATATGTTGGTCTATGGTATGGTTTTGGTTGTAAAGGTATCTTTGATTTTGTTTCGGACCTTTTCTCCTAAGAGAATCGGTAAGCTTGTAAGGAATTTTTCTTTCCAAAAAAGCTGGTTTGAATCTTCTCAAAGTATAACACGAGTAAGAAAAGTATTTTTATACCATTGAAATTCACTGAGTTCCTTGCACTGAAGGTTGGAGAGAAGTTCAATATTTTTATCTTTCAAATAGGAAGAATCTCCAACAAAATATAAGAAGATAGTAAGGATAAAGGTGGACATAGTATCTTGGATGGTGTGTACTGAAAGGCCAAGGATAGGTGTTTATGTATGTAATCTGTTTCAGTAAAATAATAATCTCACCATCCTTTAAGTTTGCCAGAAAAACTTGCAATAAGAAGTTCAAAGCCTACTGGGATAATATATATAACACAATATTAAAAAGAAAAAATGAAAGAAAAAATTCAATCTAAAAAAATAACAAAAATAATAAGTCAACTTAGTTTACCTATTAAGCTCATGATCTAAAACTTTAAATTAAAATAATCTCATAGAAAAAAATTAAAAAAATTACGAAATTCAATTTCTAATTAGTTTAATATTAAAAAAAAATTCAATTTAAAAAAAAATAAAAAGAAATTGAAATTAACTCAACTAACTTTTAAAAAGTTAAGAAGTTAAGATGAATCTTATATAAAATAAACTTTTTAAAAAAAAACATGAAATTAAATTTTTAATCAATAAATTATTGAGAAATAAAATTAAAAATAAATAAATAAAAATATAAAAAACAATAATTAATAAAAATAAAAACTAAATTAAATATAAAAATTAAATAACTAAATAACATAATTAAAAAAAAAAAAAAAAAAAAAAAAAAAAAAAAAAAAAAAAAAAAAAAAAAAAAAAAAGTTAATGGCAGGACTGCTCTTAATTTTATCAGGCTGACACAATGCCCAAGAAGATAAGAAGATAAGAGAGAAAAATTAAAAAAAGAAGAGAAAAGGCTTGCTGGAGCTCACTTGCCATATCGTCATCAACACACACCCCGCACCATCAAGAAAGCGCGACACGAGGATTTGAAAACCGTTGCTAAAGCCATCGTTTGTCCTACCAGAGATGCTGCCTGAACATCGCAAACACCTTTCACTAGAGCTAATTTTTCTTTTGAAACCCATAAATTGCAATAAAGTATAAACCCACAACTTTTCAATGATTTCCAGTTGCATACTGCAATGCAAATCTAAAGTCTAAACCCACAGATTTCCCTGTCATAGGGTTAGATCTTTCTCTTGAAACCTTCAAAACAAAACCCGACAAAATATAGCGATAACAACAAAGAAAAAACCATACAATAACATAATAATCCATGGCAAAAAGTCCACCAATTCACCAGTCCTCCTGATCTCAAACCAACAAGTAAGACTTTTCACAGTGAATCTGGAACTCGATTTGAATAAGAAAGAGTTCCAAATCAATGAACAAAAGGCGCTTGCCTACGTTATATATACATGAATACAAACAAATTTATCGTCCAAACCAAGCCTCGATGCACAGATCATACGTTATGGCCAATATGAAAACACTTCATGTAATGGAACGAACATCGCACAATGGAATCAACATTTTGTTCCTTGAAGATGGTTTTGTGCATCCATGGATCATAAATTACAATATTTAAGTAACTCGACATCAGCATGGGACAAAAAAGAGTTGTCAAAGATCCTATGCATCCAAAAGAAAAATTACAATGTTTTTTTGTATAAAAAATTATCAGATTGTTGTTTTTGAATAATTTTAGGGTGCTGATGTTAAAAATTTTAAAAATCTAATATATTTTTTATTAAAAAATACCTCGTACAGTTGTACCTTGCATTAAAATACCATCGAACACTAATAGACTATAAAAATATTACACTAACTCGCAACTCGATCCCTTGAAGAGGTATGGCTTAGCCAATGACCATCTTGCTGTAGTTTTATTTTTAATGGCCACATTTCATTCAATGAATAGAGACACAGATCAGAATCAAAAGTCCAGTCCAAGTTTCAATCTTCATGCCTTCCGTGGCTCTTTTGGCTTGTGCAAGACCACGACGTTCTTGCTGTCATCTGGTTATTGGATCACCTACTGAGGACATTGCTAGGTCACAGCTGCTAGCTGTGGTTGGGCAAAATTAGCATGCACTACTTGCATTTCTTAGAACTGATCCAACGTCAAAGTTTATCCATCCAAGTATGAAAAAGACGGGCGCCCTTTTTTATCTTCTATAAAACAATGGCATGGCTAGCTGTGGTGACCCTCCCTTGAGTGACACCATTGCTTGCGGCGACCATTTTATCGCATTGCATGGCCACATTTTCATGTCTTGTCTTGTTCTTGCTAATACCAGAAGGAGCTTGCCAGTTGTGACTGACTCCTCAACCCAGGCCGAGACGCTTTGTATACAACCGTTCTACTATCTGCCTAGCCGCCACCACATTGCATGCACATTAGTGCCGTGATCCTTCCTTTTCCCACCATCTAAACATGGAAAAGAGAGGAGAGAACCGTTCTCCCACCACCATATGGCATGGACATGGTTCTACATTGGTGCTATGCTTCCTTTTCCCTCCATCTAAATAAGAAAAAGAAAAGAGAGAAAATGGTTGCGTTTGTGGGACTTTTCAATGTGGAAAATTCTTTATTCGTGTATCAACGTAGAAGTTCTAATTGGATTTCTTTGCCAATTAGAATTCAATTTTTTTTTATTTAGATTCATGCACAAAATTCATAATGAAGGAAAATATTTTGGGAGCTTTGACATAATTTAGTCAATAATTTGAAGATCTTGCTCTTATCTGTAAAGCCCTTAATTATTATTTATCGTAAAAAACACTTTTATATTCCATTGAGATTATTTTCAAATGTTATCTTTCCTTGAGCTTTCCCATTTTTCAATCTTCTTCTCTTCTTTTTTCAGTTCTTTTAAACTAGCTCTTTGATCTATAACTATAGCTGTAATGGTGGCTAGAAAATAAATCTTCGATTCAAAAAAATATATTGAAATAACTGTTACAAATATTATAATTTTTTGACAGAACACAACACCATTGGTTGGTGACATTTCAACCTACGTCACCTGCGGGTAACAACCTTATTCGCCGTTGCTTCCTTCTTGAAGACCTTCTCTTCATTCTCCAATTTTACCGCTTCCTTGATCCTCTATTCATTATAAATAAAGGAAAAGAGAGAAATGGCTTTATGAGTATAAAATATTGAGTTTTTCTTCTTTCTAGAAATGGCTTCTTTCAATGTTTCTTCTTGCCCTTCAACAACCACAAGAGCAGCTCGCTCTGGTTCCAAGTAAGTTTTTTTCGTTCTTTATGCTTATTTTCGTGTTTTGACGGCTCTCTTAATGGCTTAACGCGTTAAAGTTTTCTACTTTTGGTTTTGTCTGCTCTTTTCTTTTTACTTTTGTTTTGAAGGGTGAATGGTTTTCCATTTTGGTTGTTCAATCTAGAGTACCGGTGTTTGGATCAGTTGAACCTTGTGTTTGATTTTATATTTGTGTTTAAGAACTTGGTTTTTTCTGTTTTTCTTAAGGTGTGATTAGATCAAGAGTTTTTCGTCGCGTTTGATTTTAGAAGAGGAGCTAAAGAAAGGATAGGAATGATTGTTTGGTTGCTAATGTCTGAGATTACTTGAAAAGAATCGAACTTCTTTATTGGTCATTCCGGTGACTGTATAGGATAGTTGACACGAATAATACTTTATCATGATTCAAAGTTCTGGTTTTTTTTCTTTTTTTTGCACTTCTTAGCAATCCAGTGTAGTATATGTATGCAGCTTGATTGGTTTATTGTTTTGGGTTGTGAAATTTGTGGTTATATTTATGTGTAGAGCATGCACGAACTTCAGATTGTTCAATGGATTACATTGTGTGAATTCATTTTCTGCAAATGGGAATGCATTGAATTTGGCATTGATCCGGCTGGATGGTAGTAAATCATTTTTTGGTATTAAGGGTGCTAGCAAAACTCGAGCCACGCTGATATCTGGTGATGAGCTACTGTCCTATTCTAATGACAATGGTGTTGTTGGAAAGAGTGCTCTTCTAGATAATGGTTCTGTTGGGGTTGACTTACAGCCTAAGGCAGTAGCATTTGGAGCCCTATCGGCGGATAATGATGACCGTCAATTGGATTGCCCCTCAGAAGGGTTTTCTTCCATCCCTGACGCCATTGAGGATATTCGCCGAGGAAAGGTAGTTTTTTCCTGGATTTTGTTGGTAGTTTATAGTAGCATTTTCATGCCTTGTTGCTTCATAAAGATTTTTCATTACCGGTTTTCATTGCAGATTGTAGTGGTTGTAGATGATGAAGATAGAGAAAATGAAGGGGATCTCATTATGGCAGCAGAGTTGGCAACACCTGAAGCTATGGCGTTTATTGTAAAGCATGGCACTGGAATAGTTTGTGTGAGCATGAAAGGTGAAGATCTGGACAGGTTACAGCTTCCTTTGATGGTTAGGCAAAATGAAAATGATGAAAAACTTCGTACAGCTTTCACTGTAACTGTGGTATGTACTTTTCTGGCTTTGAGATTTCATATCTAGAATATTGAGTCTCTTGTGTCAACATCGTTTGTGAGGATTGCAGTTCACCAGAAATATAATAAAAAAATTTATTTCACTAGAAGTATATAAACGCCCTGTATTTAATCGTATAGAGCCTTGGAAAAACTTTCTTTGTAGAATGATATATTTGAAAAGTATATAAAATGATTATATGCAAAAGAATGTTTGAATTTTTCTATTTTTATCTGTGATGATTCTGTTTCGAAGAAACAGAAATACCACACTAACAAAATAGTTCATTGCTCTACTTTCTGCAAAGCTTACATTCAATGGTTTCTTCTCTGTCATGACAGAGATTCTTAAAGTCATTCGCAGTCATTTGCAGACATGTAGCTACACAAAGATATTACTAATTGATCTTCTTGTACACTACACCGTCATGGTTCTAAATTTTTCTTTTGCCTGCAAACGACGTTTTATTAGGATGCTAAACATGGCACAACAACTGGGGTTTCGGCTAATGATAGGGCAACAACAGTGTTAGCTCTTGCATCCAAAGATTCAAAGCCTGACGATTTCAACCGCCCAGGCCACATTTTTCCATTGAGGTATAGGGAGGGTGGTGTTCTGAAAAGAGCTGGACACACAGAAGCTTCTGTTGATCTTGCCATTCTAGCTGGATTGGATCCTGTTGCAGTTCTATGTGAGGTTGTAGACGATGATGGCTCCATGGCTAGATTACCGAAGCTTCTTCAATTTGCAGAGAGGGAGAACTTGAAAGTTATATCTATAGCTGATTTAATCAGGTAAAGTGTTTCCATCTTCCTTCTTCTGTAGCAGCTTTATGTTATCATCATCACACAAGAGATTGTGGTTGAGTAACTTCATCGGTTTCTGGGTTTGATCTGGTTACTTATGTAATAAAGGAATATTTTGTCATTCTGGGGTTTCTTAGTGTGATTCTGTGGTAATGTCAGTTAACTGAAATACTCTAATTGACAGGTATAGAAGGAAGACAGATAAGTTGGTAGAATTTGCTTCTGCTGCTCGGATACCAACAATGTGGGGGCCGTTCACAGTTCATTGTTATAAGTCAATCTTGGATGGCATTGAGCATGTTGCAATGGTTAAGGTGAGCAATTATCATAATTTAGAGATCCGAACTCACAAATGTTGCCCGAGTTGGGAAAATAATTGTGTGGTCATTTTCTTACAGCAGAAGACTAACTTCTTGCAAGGTTTTTGTGCTACTGTGGCTACATTTCCCTTCAAACTTTTAAATGGCTTATAGAAATAGGATCGGGGAAAGGTATCTGAACCCCATTATATCCAATTGTTAGAATTATTATGATGTAGAGTAGATTCTATGGAAAGAACCTTTTCTAAACCAGGTTTGAGACCACATCTTGAAAGCAATGGAAATGAAAGAATGAACTTTAAAGCATGCAGGAGGTCCATGCTAAGCCGGTTTCACTGGAAGCTAGCTAATTCATAGCTTAATGTAGTTTGGTCGTTAGAACAGGAATACCTAAACACACACACACGCTCATGCAATCCTTCAGTCAACGTATGATTTCGCTTCCAGTCAATAATGCAGAGAATGGGGAGTCGAATGTCTTCAATTTTCTGGTTTTTGAAACGCGATAAGTCAGATATTTGGTTGTGCAGGGGCAAAAATGAAAGCAATTGTCATTTTACTTTTCCAGCTAGATAGAGTTTCTAAGGTCAAACACCCATTTTCAAACCTCTCACAAAAAAGAACTCTTCAAGTATTCCATACTTTCAAATTATCTTTCTGGTTTGCACAGGGTGACATTGGAGATGGGGAGGATATTCTTGTTAGGGTACATTCAGAATGCCTCACAGGAGATATATTTGGATCTGCTAGATGTGAATGTGGGAATCAGCTGGCACTTGCAATGCAGCAGATTGAAGCTGCTGGCAGAGGTGTTTTGGTCTATCTCCGCGGGCATGAAGGGCGTGGCATTGGCTTGGGTCATAAACTCCGTGCATACAATCTACAAGATGATGGACGTGATACCGTGGAGGCAAATGAGGAGTTGGGGCTGCCTGTTGATTCACGAGAATATGGCATTGGCGCCCAGGTATATCCTAAACCACACAAAATGAAAGCATTCCATTTGTAACTCTAGGCTTTCATGAACCGTATCCCATGATCAAACTGAGGTGATGAAGGCAGCTGTGTTTTCTCCTAATCATACAAGGATATGCTCTGCATCCAGAGGTTTCAACCCCAGTTTCATTATGTAATTACGAACCACTTGGTTTCAATCCATTGGCCCTTACCCTTTAACCATCTCAAAACATACTATCTCCACATTGATGGAAATGAGTGTGGATCAACAAAAATGCAGGGGATCTGGCAATCCACCTCCATACCATCTAGTGTTGCTTTTTCCCTTTTTTGTATTTCTCAAGGTCAGAATAGCATGACATCAATGGAATTTCTTTGCAGATGTTACGAGATCTGGGTGTCCGAACAATGAAGTTGATGACAAACAACCCTGCAAAGTACATCGGGCTCAAGGGTTATGGATTGGCAGTTGCAGGAAGAGTTCCGCTATTAACTCCCATCACAAAGGACAGCAAGAGATAGCAATGGTAGTGATAATGGCAATGGTAATGGTAAATCCAGCATCGACATTCCACCTGGTGTTGCTTCTGACTGGTAGACCAGTTGCATCCTCGCTTCAGACAGCCAGGAGTCAATTATGAGGTTCCAGTTGGGTTCTTTAACATGACAGAACGGCAAAATCATGAATTGGATTATGAAAAGAGCATAGATTCTTTCATTGTACTCAACTCAAATTCAAAAACTATGATTACAGTGCTTTGCGAGAGAGAAATTAAATGTCTCAGCTAGTGTATTGAACAGCCATTCATTCTTTGTTTAATGTGTAAAGTAGACAGAACAAAATAAATCTCATTTAATGCATTTGTAACTTGATCATTGTAAGGAAGTTGAAGCGATCCTCTCTTGTTCACCCCATCAATTTAACTAGTTTAAACATGAAAACATGCGAGGCAGAATTTTATTATTGAATTAAAATGTAATTGTAGTTGTTTTTTAAATTATTTTTTATTTATAAATATATTAAAATAATATTTTTTTATTTTTAAAAAATTATTTTTCATATTAATGTATTAAAATGATTTGAAAACATAAAAAAAATATTAATTTAAAATAAAAAAATAAAAAAATTTAAAAAATATTTATGAGACACAAAAACAATTTGGTTTTAAAAATATAAAAATTAACTTTAAAATTGTTTTGGAAATAGGTTTATTTTATATCTTTTTTCTTTAATGAATCACGTTTTTGTCTCATTGTATTAATTTATTTTTTTCCGTTTTGAGAAATTAACCAAGCACATCTGAAAAGTTTAGTTTGATCTTGTTTTGCTATAAAATTGTTGAATAATAGAGGAAAGTGGGGAGCACAACAATTATGAGCTGGACTGAGCTTTCAAGCAGGCACAAAATTGTGGTTGTACAGATGTGTTTTTAAAAAAATTAAAAATATTTTTTTAATTTTAAATTAATTTTTTATTATTTTAATATTTTAATATTAAAAATGATTTTTTAATAAAACCTATTATTTTATTATATTTTTAAATAAAAATATTTTAAAAAACAATCTTCACCATCCTACAAGAACCACCATCCTATAAGAACCAAAAGTCACCATCCTATAAGAACCACCATCCTATAAGAACCAAAAGAGTTAAGATCACCAAACTCATCTAATTCCTACAAAACAAACGTTAATGCAACTCAGTTTAAACCTAAAGAAATATTACCCAAAAACAGCAATTCTCCCATGAAAAAGGTTTTTGGTTGACTGTGTCTCTAAACTGTTAAAAAAAGTTCTTCATGAGCCCAAGAAAAAAAATATAGAACTCATGGCAACGTGCAGCGGTTTCTTGATTATGGTTAGGGTTCGTCATGATCTGATTTAATTTGGCTGAGAAATCTAATTAAATGGAGTTATATTAATTTTAAAAAATATAAATTAAAACAAATTAAAAATCAGATCAAACTAAATTAGTTCAAGCTATTTTTTTTTATAAATAAAATTAAAAAACCTAATCAAAAGATTTGATTCACCAAACTGGAAGGGAAAAAAAAGAAGTAAAGAGTACAAAGAACAAGTGCAGTTATTAAATTATCTCAGTTTTTAAAACCAAATCAAATAGAGTAAATTTTATGGTTTTAAAAATTGATTTAATTAGTTTTTCTCTCAGTTTAATATTTTTAATTAATTTTTATTTTATTTTCTCAATTTTCCTGATTGAATGATTTTTTGAAATGCCATGGTAAATATTTCTTTAGCTAGTTTTATATTATTATACTAGTTCTATTTTGAAAAACTTAGGTATCATTATAAAGGTAACCGATCATATAATAAACTTTTTTTTTAATTTAATTCTTTATTTTTTATTTAATTCAATGTTTCCTTTCAATTTTGAATTATCTTAAAATTGATCAAGTCTACAAAGTTACATTAAAACAATTTTTACATGATTTAATTTTAAATTTAGATTAAATAAGAAATTGAGTTGAAAAGTTTTTTATGTTACTTTCATCATTTTTTTAGTTTTATTCTTAAATATTTTTTTACCAATTAGTCAAGAATTTTTTTTATCAATCAAGTTAATTAAATTAAATCAAAATAACTGTTTAATTTTAAACACAAATTAAACAAATAATCAAACAAGAAAATTTCAAGGTTGATATATTAATATTGATATATTAGGTTAGCTTAATAAAAATATTGAATAATTTTTTATAATCTAGATATTTTTTTGTTACATTTTATAAAACAAAATATGACCTGCATCGGAATCATGTAAACTAGAAATAAACTAAAAGATTTAGGTTTTCCTATCCATCAATTATAACCTCTTTCAGCCAAGTTTTTCCTTTATATATATATATATATATATATAAAAGAGATTGCTTTCTACTTTACTATAGTGCTAGATATTGGTCTGCGTTACATCACGGAATGGTTTAAAACAAATTAATATAAAAAAAATATTTAGATGTTGCTAATATTTTTTTAATTAAAAAAATTTAATTATATAAAAATTAATTTAATGTGACTTGATTTTCTTATCGAGTGTAAAAACAACTTAGAAAACTGATAAAAATATAGTTTGAGTTAAAATAATTATTTTAATATGATATTTTTTAATAAATACTGAGACAACAACATATTAGGTTGATTCAGATCAATCAAAATTAACATGTTAATTTATATACCGAGTTATAATATTATAATAACTTAAAAAAAACAAATTAAAAAAAATTATGAAACTCAATTTTCAATAAACTCAATATTAAAATATAAAACTAAAAAAATTAATTAAAAAAACTTAAAAAATAACTTGGATTAATATAGGTTAACATGTCAAATTTGCAACTTGAATTATGAGGTTAGTATAACCCAATAGAAAATAAAATGAACCAAATTATAAAATTCAATTCTCAATTAATCTAATTTCAAAGAAGTTAAAAAAAATTGATTAAAAAAAACATAAAAAAAAAAATTCAAGTCAACTAAAGTTAATCCACCAAACCAATGACTCGAGTTATGAAATAGAGATAACTATATAAGAAGTATACCAAAACAAATTACAAAACTTAATTCTTAATCAACCCAATATTAAATGATAATATTAAAAAAAAAATTAATTAAAAATAATAATTCAGTCAATTTAGTTAATTTGTTAAATTTGTGGTCTTGAACATGAGTTTGGAATCAACTCATAAAAAATAAATTGAGAAACTCAATCGATAATAAATTTAAAGTTAAAAGATAAAATTAAAACTGAAAGAAAAAATAAAAAAAATATTATTCTAGTAAATTGTATTGTATACAAAAAGATACAATAAAAACATTCTCTTTTAGTTTTTTAAGTTAATGTTAATGTAATTTAGTTCCGAGGTTATGACGAAAAATAATCATAGTGTACTTATATAAAAAATTTGTATGGTTTCTATACTTTTATTTCTGCTCATAATGAACTGTAATTTAAATGGCATTAGTTTCCACTATTTCCTTGAGAATCTTAAGTTAAAAGTCTATCTATAGCAAGTGAATTAGCCAAATCATTTGTACCCCAAAAAAATAAATTATTAAGAGCATGTTATAATTTGATTTTTTATTTTTCATTATAGAATTAAGTTTTCAAATATTAATTTTTGCAATTTAAATTTTAAAGGCAAGTAACATTTTATATTTTATATCCTCGAGAGTTAGCACCAGAAAAATCAAAAAATATATATTTATTTATAGAGTTGTTATTATATTTGAAATAATTATTAAAGTGTCCCTAAGGTCTAAAAAATAAAAAATAAAATCTGTCAAAAAAAATGAAAAAAAAAAGTGAAAGAGAGAAAGGAAGAGGAAACAAAGAAAAGAAAAAGAAAAAAGAAAAAAAAAGGCAGTCCTTCTCTCCTGTTTGTGGTACCAAAGCCAGCTCCACCATTAATCACTCTACGAGGTTCTACAGCAGTCTTCCTTACCACATTACCATATAGTCTGGGGTCTTCGTGTCTTTTAATAATATAACGGTCCATCACAATTTAAGTCTCCCCACATTACCATATAATTTTGGGTCTTTGTGTCTTTTAATGATGTCTTTGGGATGGTCCATCACAAATTTATTAAAGGAAAACACTTGTAATGAGAAAAAGCTTCATTGAGGTGGGGGTGATGCCACATGACATGGCCATGCTTTAAAATTGCTTGGATTATAATGCTAAATATGTTATTTACTCTCCCACTAGCATTAATTTATTTAAATTAATTTAACTCTTATTTTTTTAGCATTTAAATGATTTAGAGGTGAGAATAATTTTTTATATGAAACTCATATAAAAAATACTTTTTTTTTTAATTTTTATGAGGTGTTGTTCGTATTTTAAAAAAGATTATATTAAAAAAATCATATTTTTAAATCAAACATGTATTAAATTTAACTTAAACATGAATCTTTCTTCCAAACACCCCCTCAAAAAAAAAAAAAATCTCTCCCACTCGAACATTATCAACCTAAATCAATGGCAAGTGGAGCCTTTCTCAAAGATAAAAAGGTAAAATTGACCTTATTAATTTGATTAGGACCTTGCTTCCACGCAAGAGAAATGAAAAGCTAGAGTTTTTGGGTGATTTTTGGTGAAATTTACAGTAGAGACCCGTGTTAAAGAACAACTATTATAACAGTAACTTAATAAATCAATCTTTTTTAAAAATTATTTTTTATATCCGTATATTAAAATAATTTAAAAATAAAAAATATATTAATTTAAAATAAAAAAAATTTAACTTTTTTGAAAACATTTTTGATATAAAAAACAAACAGTAACTTAATAAATCAATCTTAATAAATTTATTTCCAAATAATGACCACGCGACACCCTACGCGAACACGCTTTCCATTTTCCGACCGTTAGCACATGGCAAAAGTTCTCTAATTACCTTTGCTGTCCACATTTCTCCGACTTTTTTGAAAACTCCTACGTGCGTGTACGTTCCTGATTCATTTGACAGCTGTACTTAAAACCGTCCGATTGCTTGCTTGGCCACCAACCCAAAAGGTCTTAAAACCGTGTTTTTTCCTAATCTTCATGCTGACGCTAGATAATGTGAAAATACAGATTATTAACAATTTCACTTAATTCATAATTGAATAAATATTAGGATATTATTTAAATTTACTTATTATATGCTTCTCTTCTTTTTATGATAATAAGATTTCTTAGATTGCAGTTTACTAAGGTTTGATAGATTTTTAGTAACTTTTATACTTTTAAATAGAAAATACTTGGAGACATATATTTTTGTTTTTATATTTAAATTTCTTGTATTCTAAAATAATAATCAAATATTATCTTAAAAAATAATTTTTGAATTATAAATTTAATAATAATAATATTTTATTAAAAATTTAATTGTCATATTCAAAAAATAAATTGTAATTACAGCAATATTACCTTCATTTATTTATTTAAGACATGTTTGTTTTTGTATTTTAAAAAATATATTTTAAAAAATTTAAATTTTTTATTTTTCTTTGCTTTATATTAATATATTTTTTGTGTTTTTAAATTATTTTAATGCTATGATATGAAAAATAATTTTTAAAAAAAATATTATTTTGATATAAATTTTAATAAAAAATACATAAAAAATAATCATAATTACACTTTCAAATATACTCGTAAAAATATACACACATGATAAGACCCTTATCATTTGTTTTTTTATTTTTAAAAATAAAAATATTTCTACAATATTGAGGAGTTGTTAGTACCCATAATAAAATTTTGATTTCAAAATTGGATATTTTTTAAAAAAATAAAAAAATTTATATTAATATTAAATTAATACAAAACATATTATTATCATTACATCATTTAAATAAAAAAGCATGATAATTAAATTTATTATAGGATAATAGATTTGACAAAACCTTTAATAAACTCTTTAATGTTGGATATTTAAACCTAAACCAAGCTAACTCATTAAAAAAAAGAAGAATAAATAATTTAGTATAACATGTTTTTATCATCATGCAAACTATAATTACAATTGTATTCATAATAATACATTACAATTAAAAAAAAATTAATTACCGTTAATCTCCCTCGAAATTCGTGTCAAAAAATAAATAAAAAAACCTTGTAAAAAAAAAAAAATCCAACGGCTCTTAAACTCTGTCTCTCCAAACCCCTATATGTACCCTCTCCATCCTCTCTTTCTTCTCGCACTTCACCAATACAAGCAATTCTCTCTCTCTCTCTCTCTCTCAGCTTATCACAGCCATTATCTTCCTTGCTTCTCTCTCATAACTCTTCAAGAAATGGCTGGAAACAGGGGCATTGTTTTCTTGATGCTAATCACATTCCTAGTGAGCTCCACAATTGCACAATCTCCAGCATCCTCCCCTGCGACCTCACCTTCCAAATCACCACCAAAAGCCTCTTCCCCAGCACCAAGCACCGTGAAGACACCGGCATCTGCACCTTCTCCTTTGACAACTCCACCAACCAGTGCAGATGCACCATCCCCCGTCACCACCACCTCTCCTCCTTCTCCTCCAGAGACCGTTCCTTCATCTTCCCCAACTGGTGTCCCAACTTCTACGATCTCTGACACTCCAGCTGCAGCTCCCGGCCCCAACAGCGGTGCCGTTTTGAACAGATTTGCTTTCGGTGGATCTGTCGCTGTCGGTATTTTCGCTGCCGTTTTGGTGCTTTAAAGTGAAGAGAGAATTTAGGCTTATCCGCTCCATCAATTCTAATTTAATATATTTTATCCTGATTACATTGCTTTATTTATTTGTACTTATTATATTATTTATTCAATTAAAGAGATTTTTATCATCTTCGGTTTGGTTGCTAGTTTATTTATTTACCTTCAAAAGCACTTGTTTCTCCTGAAATTAACTAAGAAAAGATCAATCAAGAACATTCTCTAATGGAATTGAACGAGATGAGGAATAATTATGATACTTAAATGAAACTATTAATTAAATTCCATGGCCCAGTTTGCAATATTGCAATTTGATCCTTTATCTTTTAGATCTATTTTCAGTTGGGGCACGCCTGTACACTTTTATTTTTGCTATTGATTTCTCGTTCTTCAAATTTGCAACTTCGATCTAATGGGGAACACATGTAATGAAGTATGTGTATCAATGCCCTAAGATTCTAGAAGCAATTTGTTCAGATAACTCATGGTGAGTGAAAGGTGGAATATTCGGATTAATCCGCGAACCAACTCAGTATTTGTTGATTTCTTTTTCTTTCTTTTTTTGTTTTTTTGTTTAAAACAACCAGTTTAAATGAAACCTAATCCGAGCTAGAAAATTATTGATTTATTTGGTTAGAAAAGTTTTAATGAGATATTTTTCGATGTCTTCATTACCAAAAATAATAAATAGATTTCAAATTTTTATATCAATTATAATATTAGTTAAAGCAATAAATAAATTTATCAAGTACTCCATAATTTTTAAAACAAGTTGTTTAAAATGAAGCCTAGTCCAAGTTAATAAATTATTTTTTGACCAAAATAATGTGCACGGTTGATAGTCATTAATTTTAAAATTTATAAAATTAATTAAGATAATAAACATTCATATTAATTATAAAAAAAAAAAAAAAAAACACCATCAACCATGCACAATATTTTTGCCCCTAAATCAAGGTAACCCTTATCATGAATTCAGTCCAATTTTTACCAAACACAACATTATGGTTTGTGGAGAGTGGGACACTGGGAAAGAAGAAAATAGGTAAAATACCCCTTCTTCTTTTGGGCTTGTACTTAATCTTGGCCTTGTTTCTATTATCCACGAATATGTTTGCAATGCATTCCATGTCAAAATATCAGCAATTGACCTGACTGTGGGGATGATGTTGTTCAAGTAATTTATATGACAATTGCAAAAAAATTATATAAATTTGTTAATTTTTAATATAATCTATTTATTTGCATAACCATCTTCTTTAATTACCAACAATGTTATGTTCGAAATATAAAGAATTAGAAAATGTTAATAAGAAAAAAAAATCCTAGTTGTTAAAAATATTTTTTTAATTTGAACAAGCAAGCACTCTAAATATAATTTTTTTAAATTACATTTTATATCCTCTCAATTAATGTTGTCTTATAGAAAAAATATAAATATAAAAATCTTAGCTAACTGATTAACTAGGGTTAATCTACGTATATCTAAAACTTTATTTTTTAATATTGAAAAAAATTAAAACAATATCATTTTAAATTTTTTTAAATCAAATCAAGTTTTAATTGGATTGACTGGGTTGTATTTCAACCTATCATATAGATCAAGTCATATCATATTAATTTGAACGTGAATTAATTTAAAAATTGGGCTAGACAAGTGGTTGGATCAGGGCTATTTAAAAACAATTAAATTGCTTTTTATAACATAAAATAATATTTTTTAATTTATATTTATCTTTCAACTTCCTGACTTATGTATTACTTACTGTTAATAATTTATTTTTAATATTTATTAATATATATAATTATTAATTTATTTTATTAAACACAATCATCATATTTTAAGTTTATAACTGAATTTTCATGTCAAGGAAGACATTAATTATACCTGTATAGTTTTTATATTTAAAAATAATTTTTAATCCAACAAATAATAGACCTGGTTACCTTGCCTGGTATAAGATAACCCTGTTGAAGCGGGTCAAGTCTCGAAGGCGTGAACAACAATCAAGAAAAGAAGACACACACATATCACGGAATATTCGAGAACACAGGATCACTGCCACGGGAAAAAAGAAAAGGGGATGTGCGTACGTTGGCGGTCTTTGAATATGTTGACTTTCTACGATAAAATAATAAAAAGACAAAAGAGTCCTAAAACGTATCAGTTAGGTTTCCAGCTAGTAACAGATTTCCACGTACGTGGTCCCCCCGCCAGTTGTCGTTTTCTATTTCTTTGCCGTTACAATATTAATTTGACTAAAATGTTAGTGTTGCACGTGTACGTTCGTGATCAATTCACATCTGTATCTTAGTGGCCGTCCACGAACCAGGGTGGAATTAACGCATGCCAAACCGTCCCTTACTAGTTGGTCACCCATCATGACGTCACATTGCCTCCTTTATTCATTTAACTATATATTTTATGTGCAAAATTAACGGCCGTATCCTAAAAAAACAAATTTATATTGTCGATAAATAATTAATTATGTTTTGTTAGTTATTTTTTAAATCTATTATAAGGAAAAAAAAGATAAATACCAATAGTAATATAAAATTCACCAAAAAAATAAAAATATCTCTTTTTAGAATTTTTATCTTCTACTTCTCTTTCTTCTTTAAAATAGGTTCATATAATAGCCACTAAAATACTAGTTATTTTTAGAATACTATAAAACAACCTATTGTATCCTTAAAAAAAATTATAATTTTTATTTTATATTTATAAAATCTTAATATATATTTCATGAAGTTTTTATTATAAATGATTTATTTGGAATCAAATATATAATAATGAAATAAATGTTTTTATTATGGTTTGATACAAGGTTTGAATTATAACTAGTTTTATGAGATTTTTGTTTTCAATCATCTCTATATAATAAGATTAAAATATTTTTTATTGTTATTTAAAAAATATAATTTAATTAATCAGGTTTTAAATTTACTTTTTAAAAATTATTAATTTAAATTTTATAAATTTTAAAGTCATTAAAAACTTATATAATTATTAATTTTAAAGTTTATAGAAATAATCAAGATGTGTTCAAGTTAGACTAAATATTTATAATAATAATAATAAAAAAAAAAGGTTTGTATTGTTATTTTTTTAATTCAAAATTAGAAGAAGGTTTCTAAAAAGTAGTTTCTATTGTTACCCTTTTTAATTCAAAATTGAACAAAGGTTTATAAAAAGAAATCATATGTTTATATTAAAGATAAAAACATAAATGGACTTTTTACAATTCAATTTAGGAGATATTTAGTCACAATATATGAAAATTAGTTTGAAAATAATTAATTTCACAGTGTATATATATATATTTTGTCATTAAAATCACTGCTAATAAATAAAGAAATAAAGAGAAACCTCCACCATTTGATTGGAGTCCAATTCAACGGGGCACTGGCAAAGTCATCAAAGAGACGCGCACACACCGCACTATATATACCTCGGGTCACCCGCTCCTCCTTTCAAGCCACTCCTGCACTTCTTTAGTTCTTTACTGTCTCTAAATTCTCTCAGAGAAAACTCCTAGCTTTCCTCTTCAACAATGGCCAGCTCAAACGTTCTAGCCCTGGTGGTGCTAATGGTATTGTTCTTGACCTCCACCATGGCACAATCTCCAACCTCCTCTCCAGCTTCTTCTCCCACAAAATCTCCAGTGCCACCAGCCAGCACCCCCACATCTGCACCACCACCTACTGCTACTTCTAGCCCTCCTGCCTCTCCACCTGCACCCAAGAAGAGCCCCACCACTCCTCCTGCGGCATCTCCACCATCTCCCACAACCGTCAGCTCTCCTCCTCCAGCATCCAGCATCCCTCCTTCCAGCATCTCCAGCTCACCATCTGATGCTCCTGGTCCATCTGCTAACGATGCCGTTTTGAATAGAGTTACTGTTGGTGGATCTTGGCTTGCTGGTCTCTTCGCTGCCGTTTTGGTGATTTAGAGTCGTTATTGAGAGTCGGTCGTCTTGTTTCGTGAAGAGTGGTGGCTTATTTTCAGTGTTTTTTTTTTTTTAATTGGTTCTGTGATTGTAGTTAATGTAGTCATTTCATAAGTGACTAATTGTTGTTGTTGTTAGTGAGTAATTGCCTCTTTTCTTTTTTATTTTCCAAATCTTAATTTTTAATATATTTTTAAATAAAAAATACCATTAAAATGAGTTAATTTTCGTGAAAAAAGGGCACAGCATGCTGACAATTGCAACTCAGCGGACGCGGATTCCCTTGGACCGGTCCCACTATCCAAGTCTCTTTTTCTTGTCAGAATGGACCCACTTAAAACACACCTGGTCCTTTTCCTGGGCTTTAAAGTAATTTATGTTAGGATAATAAAATTACTCAATTGATTAAAAAAGTTTAATGGTTTAATGAAAACTCATTTATTTTTAAGTAAATATTAAAAACTTCGATTTTTATTTAAAATATTTTTTTTAATTTAAAATCATTCTTTCTAGTGTTAATGATATTTTTGTTACAAACTATAATATCTTCAGATTCTTGAGAATAAGTTTATGATATATCAAAATGATTACTGTAATTTATCATTTATATTTTTATATGTGTCCATTTAAAGTCATTTCTATTTTATTTTAATAAATTTATTAAAATCTAGATAATAAGACGGGAAATAAATTAAATGGTCTCAAATTACTACCTGCAAAGTTATTTTATGTAACTATGGTTTATTTGTTTATTTATTTGTTTTTTCCTTTAAACACCAATGTATATTTGTAGTTGGTGGTTAGTGATAGAAAAAAAAATCCAAAATTAACAACTATCAAGATAGAAAAGATAAGATAATAAGAATAAAAATAAAATTTAATTTTGGCTACCTTTTACAAGGATTGTAAACAATTTCAATTATTAATATTCACTAAAATATTAAATCTATAATTGTTAGGTATCCATGAAGAGATCACAATTAAACAAAAAAACTAACGAACTGAGCTTGGTGATAACTTTGAGAGGTATAATTTAATTGAATAGAATTTGAGCTTATTCTCTATAAATTATTAATTCAAGTGTCATAAATCTTAAGATCATTAAAAACTTATCTAATTATTAACTTTAAAACTTTAAAAGATTAGTCGAAATACAAGTAAGTAACTGAAACATCTGAATTACAATTAAAAAGTTATTGTACCGTGAGTTAATAAAGAATATTTAAGAATATGATAATGATTCTTTTTTAAAATATTTTTTATTTAAAAACATATTATAATAATAATTTTTTATTTTTTAAAAATTATTTTTTATATTAACACATCAAAACAATCTAAAAATATAAAAATATTATTAAAAAAAATCAAAATTTAACCAACCCATTAAGAAGACAAAGCCAAACAGGTGAAATAGCGATGGTGGACTGCCGTGGCGAAGAATCAACAAAAGCCCCGGTCAAGATTGGGCGTTGGGTTAGCTTTTCCTTTCCGATTTTCCAAAGCCAAGAGAATGATTCTCGACGACCCCCATGTGCCCTGTAAGCTGGAAACGATTCTAAAGAGAAAGAATAGCTGGGGACATGGGGTTGTCTTGTGCTCTGAGTTCTAGACACGTTGTCGCATGTTTAGGGCATTGTTCGCCCAATAATCTCAGGTAAACTATCAAACCCTCCTCCATCTATAACAATATTAGTTTACATGCCGTGCTACGCGATTGTTGTTCAAATAAAATAAAAAAATCAAATATTAAAAAAAATAAATTATATAAAATTATTTAATATTATTATTAAACTTGATTTAATATATTAATCTTAAAATTTTTTAACCTAATTTTTTATCTAACCTAAATTTAAAATTAAAATTAAAAAATTATCTTAATATTTTTAAATTAAATAATATTTTTTACTAATTATTTAAATTGTTTTTAAATTCATTGAATAGAATAAACCATGTTAATATAATTTTTATGTGATTTAATTTTAAATCAAAACTAAATAAAAAATCAAGTTAATAGATTTCTGACTCATTAAATTAGATTTAATAATAATATTAAATATTTTTATATAAATAATTTTTTATTAAATTTTATTTCAGCCTCAATATAAAGCACCTTTAAATTTAAACGAGTTCATATGTCTATAGGAATATTAGTTTCAAGACTCCAGATTAACCCTTGTTTCAATCAACTATTGACTTAACGTTATTTCACCATAATTTCCATAGTGGGCTTACTTGGAATCCTAAGATTTTTCTTATCAAATCAAATATTAAAAAAAAAAATTTGAATAGTTTTTTAAATTAAAATTAAGATTAAAATATATCAAATACTACAGTTAAAACATTATTTATTAAAAAAATAAATTTTTTATAAATAAAAAAATCCTTTAAAAAGCAATGTAATCCTTGGATTCCAAGTAAGCCCATAAAACCAATCTACTTGAAATCAATTGGTGAAGCTTATTTTCAACCGGTGCATTCAGCACAAATTTCTTCACTTAAATTTTAATTCATAATAATAATAATAATAATAATAATACGCGAAGAACAAATCCATTGGTCATCGGAATCAAACCCGGGCAAGGCACGTGTATTCTTTAAGCCTTTTAACACGCTACCGGCCACGAGGCACGCACTCCACTCCCAGCAGAGACAGTAGAAGTGCGAGTATTCACGTTCATGCAAGCGCCGGAGAATTCTAAAACCAAACAAATAGCGTTATGATCAATTTCCCAAAAAAGGAACCAAAATCAAAGCATAATATCTTGATAACTTCCTATGCTCATAAAACTTCACCATGATCAACAACAATAACCACCACCCCTCCACACGTCATCACCACCACTCCCAACACCGTCAGGGGCAGCATTTCAACCGTCCCTGGAACTTACGAAACCACCAAAACCAAAGTGTTTTTGTTGTCAGGCTTTTGTGCAACCACCGTAACAATAACCGCACGCAATCCCCACTCGAAACCCTAATTTCCCAATGTAACCCTAAACCTGACAAATCCGATACAAACCCCATGTCCGCGGGCGATGGTCGTTTGTTTTTCCACGACCAGAGCGATGCTATCGCCGCCGCCGTCTTCCTCTGGGAACGGAGGCTGGCTGGGGATCATGTGTATACTCCGGTGACGGATTTTGATGTAAATGAAGGGGACTTGAATGAGAGGATTAGAGGTTTGTTTAAATTGTATGCAGAGAAGGTGTTAGAAGGGGAGGTAGTGAAGAAATTGGAGAGAAAGATTGAAAATTTGGCCGTGGAAATTGGTAAATTTACGAGCCTTTTCAAGCGGCCGGAACGGGTTAGGGTTTATAGCGAGAATAAGGTGAAGAAGGAGGCGTTGAGGGTGGAAATGGAGGTGGTTGTGAAGAGGGTGGAGGAGTTTAGGAAGGGAATGCGGTGTTTGATGGATTGCATTGAAGGGAAGGAGATTGGTAATTTGGGGGTTTTGAGGGTTTGCGATGAGGGTAATGGGAGAAAGATGGGATTTTTTTATTATTGGAGCAGGATTCATTTTCTGATATTGAGAGAGTGTAGAAGGGTAGAAAATGGGTTGCCTATTTATGGGTTTAGGAGTGAGTTTTTGAAGATGCTGCATTCACAGCAGGTATGATGATTAGTGTCTGGATATGTTAGCTTTTATTGTATTTAAAGGAATATGCGTTGATTGTTTCTGATGTGATTTTGTGCTTCAAGCTTAGTGGTATATGCTTCTTGTATTTAAAGGAGTATTATGATTTGAAATTCAACTTTAAGCTTGGTTCGTGTGCTTATGCATATTCTTGTATGATCTTTTATGAATGGTTGGTATGTAGTTTTAAGAGCCGTTTTATGCAGGTGATTTTGTTTGGTGATTGTGTCTTAGGGGGTGTTTGGCCTTTTGGTTTAACCGGAGTTTTCAAAAATTTTGAATTTTTTTTTGCTTCAATATATATATATATTGTGTTTTTGGATTGTTTTGATATGATAATGTCAGAAATAATTTTTTTTAAAATAAAAAATTTACTTTGATGTATTTTTAAGCGAAAATATACTTTAAAAAATAACCGCAATCACTATCACAAACAACCCCTTATAGTCACATATAGTTTTTTACCAAAATAAATAATTGAAAGCGCAGTTCATCTTTATTACTTTTTGCGGGTCTTGGGTTGTAAAGCTTTGAATAATTAGAAGAAAGTATCTGGAGGTATGATATTTTTATTATTCTTCTAGAAGGTTATGTGAGGCTCAGTTGATTAGGAATGTGATCATTGATATGTCTATCCAGTTGAGATGCGGATTTAATTGATTCGGAATGTAATCACTGACATGCCAGACTGGTTAAAGATAATTTCGATGATAATTTACATTATAATGTGAACGGGAATGGTGTAGTTTATCTATTGTTATCTAATGTGCTCATGTGGACTGTTTATCTGGCTATTAGCTTTCCAACTCTAGAAAAAGAATCAAGTACGTAGAAACTTAAAATAACATTTGAATGTGTACCTGCAACTGAAGACACTCCCTGATTGGCATGTCTGATGGAAACTAGAGCTGTTTTTTGTAGCTGCAGTTTTCTTGGTCTTGTTTCATGTCTCTGTTGGGATTTGGAATGATAATTGAATTAGTCAATGGTTTTTTCTTTTTTAGCTGTCTGGCTTCAGAACTTAAATTTTGTTAAAAGTTGCATTCAAATAAGTTTATTAGTATGTCTTTATAACTTGTTGGTGTTGATGGATGTTTTGTCTTTCTCTTTTGACTTCTCCCACAGGTGATGGTCTTGATTGGGGAGACAGGTTCAGGGAAGAGTACGCAGTTGGCACAATTTATTGCTGATTCAGGAGTTGCATCAAGTGGTTCAATTTTGTGCACTCAACCCCGCAAAATTGCTGCTATATCCCTGGGAAAAAGGGTCAGTGAAGAATGCAATGGATGTTATGAAGATAATTCAATTATCTGCTACCCATCTTATTCATCTTCCCAGCAGTTTGGTTCGAAGGTAATATATATGACTG